TAGTGGGCCGCGGCCCACTACTGGGCCATGAGCCACTTAGAATCGGGCCACGGAAGCAGCAATTAGATCCACAAACATCTCCATTTGCACAAGTACCGGGTGAATACACACATACTTCATTTATACAAGCACAAATGGAGCGGTTCCTTGTCAACCACGCACAAGGAACCATCGCCTTTCCTTCCCCCACCGGTCCACGAAGGTTGGGGAACCTACATCATCCCAGACAAAGCCCTCCCTTGTTCTCACTAACAAAAAGAGGGGAGGAGAAAGTGCATTCCCTCTTGCAAGATTCTGTTACTATAACTTTTGAGTTTTGGGTTGATTTTGAGTTCTTCGTCTGGTCTCCTTGAAGGGCTGACAAGAGGACAGTGGCTATTTTGTGTAGTTACTTTTGAGGGAGGTGGATAGCTCCCTTGTGGCTCCTTTGGGGGTTAAGATGAAAAAAATATCATTGCTTTTGTTCTCATAATCAAACCTCACGTCTCCTTATTCTTTCCTTTTCCTCCACAGTGGGATCTATTGAAGGGAATGCATTGATCAAAGCATGTGCAACAAGCAGTGTATGTTCCTATCCAATAGGAAACACCCAAATGGGCAACGGCATTGTAGAGTTCAGGCTTCCCAGGAAGACTTGCACCAGCGCTACACAAGCATTTGATATGATGTTTTTTTAATATGTAGACGAAAGCCTTATTTCCCTCAGCGTTTGAAATTTGTAAACGTGGGAAGGAGTTTGGAGCTTTAGTGCTAAGAATTACAATGCTTTGGGGCTAAACATTCTTGGGGAATTGGTAGCAATTTAGGATATGGAGGTGCAGGCTAGCTCAGGGGTATGTGGTCTTTCTTTAAATCGTAACGCAAATAAATTTTGGTGACAAAAGTATTTGCGTCTGTGTATTCTCCTAAGAGACGTTTGAACACACACGAGAAGACAGCTTCAATAAACTACGCATTCCCTCCTCTAAGGCAAGAGCCGAGGTGGCGCAGTGGTTAAATGCAGCGCTGCAGGCTACTTCAGCTGACTGCAGTTCTGCAGTTCGGCT